CAAAACTTCAAAATTAGCTTTGCCTTTTGTCTCCCGCTATATGCTGCTGTAACAACAACGTGGCGCTCTGCGAGTTATGCCACTCAGGTCTTCTGTATAATGGGAATATGTCATTAACGTATGTACATACATATGTACGTACGTACTTATGGTTCAAAATAGTTTCCACTTGGTTTAGTTACTTACTGGCCAAAATAATTTGGAATACTGGATGCATAATTGCCATGCAGCACTCAATACATAGCAATATGTCACTTATTTTTTAAATGGTGTAAGAAAAAGTTTATTGTCAACAAAAGGAGATTCTTACGTTTTATTGACAAATTTTTAAATAGTGTCACTCCATCACTCGCGTTTTTTTCAGGAGTATTAATGAAACCTAGATAATTAAAGGTACCATTTATTCTTACTGAAATTTTAAATTAATTGGATTTATTGAATTTTTAATTAGTGTCAGTCCATCACTCGCGTTTTATATTATCAGGAGTATTAATGAAACCTATATAATTAAAGGTCACATTTATTCAATTTATTTAACACTTTTGGAATTTTTTTACAGATTTTGTATCCATACCCTCTCGTCAGCGATCTTTTGCTTTGCATAACGTGCAGCACACATAAATATAAAAATACAGGTATATTTTTGCATTGAAGCCAAGTTAAATTACAATATAAGACAATTCAGATAATTAACGATCAAACAGCAACAACACAAATTGGTCGCAATAGTAGTGGGAACTATTTGAGCTGCACCAAAAACACCTGCGTATAAAAAGTCTAACAATGCATATAAAAAATTTACAACACGCTCATGCGGCTTCGGCTGCTATGGGAGGAATTGTAATTGTGTCATCGTCGACAAATAATACCACAAATAATGCTAACAATAACAACAACAATACCGACAGCAGCAATAACAATAATGAAAACACCCAGGTAACACATCATCAGCAGCAGCAACAACAATCCCAACAACAACAGCAGCAGCACCAGGCCGCAAGTGCAGCAGAAATTCCGATTCCGTTCAATATGCATCTGACTGCAGCTAATTCAGAAGCTCATGTTGCAGCCCAAGCGGCAGCTATGGCTGCAGCACAAGCAGCTGCCGCACAAGCCGCCGCCGCCGAACAACAGCAAGCGGCAAATGGTGGCAATGGAGGAAGTGGAGGTACCACTATATTGCAGCAACATCCTTTAGCGCACCTAGTAGCCACAGCGGCTCATAGTCCAGCGCTCTCAGAGCACCATTTTCCGGCGGGGCGCGAAGTGGTAGCCAATGGACATAGCGCAGGCAGTAGTGCGAGCGGAGGAGGTGGTGGCGGCAGTGGCGGTGGCAGCGGAAGCAGCAGTGGGGGCGGCCATGAAAAACCTTTCCTTTGTAGTGTATGCGATCGGCGGTTTCGGCAATTGAGCACACTCACTAATCACGTGAAAATACATACCGGAGAAAAACCATACAAATGCAACGTTTGTGATAAGACCTTCCGTCAATCGTCCACTCTAACGAATCACCTTAAGATACACACTGGTGAAAAGCCGTTTAATTGCACCTATTGTCCGAAGAATTTCCGACAGCTGAGTACACTAACGAACCATGTGAAAATCCATACTGGTAGGTATAGATTGGTCATTGGTATCACATAAATAACAAGTAATTTTTATCCCTAGAATTCTAATCTTTTTTTTTATTCCTTTCAATACTAACGTTCGCCTGTGAGACTACTTCGAAAAAAGTACAAATTTTGTCTTTTTAAAACCTTAAATTTATTTCAAAAATGTGCTTAAATATATTTTATATGTTTCTAAAGTAAAAAATAAAATAATTTAATATTTTTCTTAATATTAACAAAAATAATTCGTATTGAAAAATGACACATATTTTATCATCTTTTTGAAAAGGGTCATTTAAAAAATAAAAAATAAAATATTTTAAAGCGAACGAACTCAAACAATCCATAAATTATCTTAAAGGTATTCGTATTTACTGTCACACTTAAAAGGAATTAATTGTTTATCTTTTCTATTGTGACTTGTACCTACAAATGAAATTGACTTTTTTGCATCACATTGGGCCCTATGAATAGAAACTAAGCGATTAATTTTTCTTAAAATTTCAGACCTACGTAAATTTATTTGAATAAATCAAGCAAAAGGTTTGAAATCTTAAGAAAACCAACTGCTTATTTTTTTATTCATAAGGCCCATTCACTGAAATCTTCTTCCGAATTGTCCTGACTATCACTTCCATTGAACGATATTTCTTCCAACCCTTTTAGAACTTGTTCTTCATAGGTACCCCTCTCGAAAAGTAAAAAAAAAGAATAAAGTTCAAAAACAGAAAATAGCCAACAAACATGTTCAAAACTGAAATAATAATAGTAATAAAATCGTTGCTGAAATATCGCGATAAAACTGAATTCGTTCCGCCTAACAGGCGAACGTCAGTGTTCTAGGGTTAAGCAAAAAAACAAAACCGACTTAAATTTTCATATAAAAATTTAAGAGTACCCTTAATTTCTTCGCGATTCAACGATCGGATCTGTACCAAGTTAGTATGGTATGAGGTATCATTTCCTTTCCTTTAAAAAAAGAATTATACAAATCGATCAACGTGCTCCAAAGTTATGCTGTAACATATGTACATAAGAAAAAATATTCCGACGAATTGATATCCTCCTCATTTTTTTGAAGTCGGTTAAAGATAGAAATAATTAGCTTATTCAACCAGCGAAAATATAAAAAAATATATTTTAATATTTTTATTGCGCTTTGTACCACGATTATTTTATTAGGAAAAATGGAAAAAGCAACAAAAAATATACTTTCACTTTTTTTTCACTATTTTAGGTGAAAAGCCCTTCGAATGTGCCGTTTGCAAGAAACAATTCCGTCAATCCAGTACTCTCAATAACCATATAAAGATCCACGTCATGGACAAGGTGTACGTGCCAGTTAAGATAAAGACGGAGGAGGAGGAAGGATGACTAGAGGATATGGTGATCGCAGGCACCCATCAGCGGCCTGCGCATCACCATCGTAATGTAATCACAACAACTATACAGGCACCAGTAACATCAGCGGCTGCAGTAGCTGCCGCCGCTGCTGCAGCCAACCACCATCAACATCAGCAACTGCATCAACAACACCAACAGCAACAACACCAGCAGCAGCACAACCACTCCAACACTCCAAATAATGGCAACACGATAATAGCAACAGCCGCTGCTCCGTCCAATGCAATCGAACATTTTAACGTAACATCTATTGGCGAATTGTCAAACGTTCAATTGAGCAGTATCAATGCGCAGCTAGTGGGTGGCACTGTCACCGCCGATGGCAATCTAGTAACCATGGGAGGTGTTGTCATCGGACGCATACATCCGGCATCACTGCAAAGCAATGGGCACACACTACAACCGCAATTACGCACTACAGCACAGCCGCCTACTCGAGAGGAGCTACAGCAGTTGGGCGTGATTAAGGTAGAGTCGCCAGCCGCTGAGTTTCAGAATGAAGGATGAGTCGAGTACGAGTTACTGCTTGAGTACATGCTCAAGGAGGACGAGGAGGACTACGCAGCCGCTTGCAATGAGAATAAAGTAAATGCTTGCAGTGACATATTAAAAGATGGATTAAAGACCAATGAAATTTGTAGCGACGGGGCTGCCAGTGGTGAAAGTGCTGGTAATGGCACGCTTACAAGTGCGTGTGACGCTGCTAAGCAAAATTAGAGCGAGTTTCTTTATCTTGCAGTTGTAGTTGTTGTTGCTATTGTTGCTAGTTATTTAAAAAGATATACAAAAGTAAAGAAAAGCTAACTAAATATCATACTCACTTGAATACATTTGCTGTCAAACATCATCGTCGTCATCATACTGAAAATGTAAAACTGACACCCTTGAAATCCCAATTACCAGACAAAAACTAAAATCATTACACTGGATTAAATACACATGAAATAGCTTGGGGTTGCGGATGCTTTTTGAAACGTAAATATTTAAAAACAAAATTAACGAATCAATCAGAAATACTAAAAAATATGAAAATCAAAGAAAATTCAACCTCTATAGTAGTTAAGTCTGAAAGTAGCAACAAACATGATAAGCAAGCAGAAGAGAAACAAAAAAGTTAAATCTAAAATTTAATTTTAATAATAATAGGGGGAAATTATTTTACGGGGGTTAGTAAAAAGATCAAGCACAAAAAATGCTTAAAAATAATTTGCCGTGTTTTTTAGAGCAAAAATGTGTTATGAAGTTTGTTAGAAATTCTAAGCGTTGAGATATAACATTGAGTTCATGAGAAATACCAGGTTGTTTGATCCGTGTAGTATAACTTCGCGATAAACAAATTGTTTCCAAAGTATAGCACTAAATTTCTGAAAATATGGTCATGGTTTGCGTCCTTCTGCTCTTACAAATCAACTCCAAATTCATAACAAAATTCATAGCATATTGACAACTCAAAAATGTGGTAGAATAATTGTAATTTAAATTTACTAGGAAGGCTTACTTTGTATTTTAGTTTAATAACACAGCAAATGAGACTTGTTTGTACTTGAAGCTAAAAACTACTTTAGAATAACAATGCCTAAAAGAAGTCAAAGTGGAGGAAATTTCTGCATAAAATGAAATTGCTTTTTGTTAACCTTTTTTGGCATAAACAAAAAAATTATGGTGAATATTTGTTTGAATTGTATGAAACATAACCTTCTTAAGGCAAATTTTAATTTATTATTAAGTTTAGACTAAAGTTTTTGAATTTTTGTAGATATAAAAGTTACTAGTATTTCCACAATTTTGTTGGCTTATGAAATTATTTTAAATTATTTCATATATGCCAGCGTGTGTGTATATGCGCAATGGAAATGTGAAAACTATTTGAAAATAATAGAAATTTTAAATGAAACTAAAAAAACGTTTATTGTTACTCCAAAAAAAAAACTGATATAAAACTACTAAAAGAATGGCGAAACAAAACAGTTGTATATACAAATGCAGTAAAATACGTTTTAAAAATGTTAAAGAATTTCGTTGCAACTTGTTATTAGTCAACATCTAAATCTGTTAGGATTTACCTTCCCGCAATTTTTGTAAACTTTATTCTCTTGAATGGGATATGAAATTTAAGTGGTTCATACGAAATTAGTAGTTTTCGGAAAATTCTTGGTTTGTTTGTATTTCACTAAATCGGAGTATAATATATGCACAAAAGTGTATACAAAACTGGTACGTTTAAAACAAGTGCAGATATTTAGGATCATCACCTTTGGGCCTGTAAAATAAAGTAGATATTGAATGGCATAGAAAGCTTAAAACTTTTAAAAAGTTATTGCGCATGTGCCACACTTCAACGTCGTCGTAGATACATGCATACATATGTATAAACATATATGCTAGTAGGTGAATTGTCTGTCGCGCCATACAGACATATAAGTCATTTATTGTGAGTGTGCATCGCCTAACACAACAATCGATTAAGAAGATAATAATACATATATGTATATGATGAAACAGCTTATCAAAAACATGTAAATGTAAAGGTACATTTATGAATTTGATTAAATACCATGTACATCATATTAACAAACATCAAAGTGTGTAAAGAAAAATGTTGTAAACGCATAAGTAAATAATTAAGAAAAAAAGAGGTAAAACTCTAGTGGTATTTGTAAGTTTTGTTATACGAGTATTTTAGGTGGACGTCAAGTAGGCAGCGTGGAGAGTTATACATACGTCGTATGAAGAGCTGCGAAGTGTCAAGGTATGATCGCGAATAGATATAGAAGAGGAAAGACTCGTAATTTCGATTAGCCGAAGCTTGAAATTACGGTTAGTCGTCATCTCATTTGACGTTGTGATTGTCAAAGGGATTGACACAACTGAAAACTGAAACTGATAATAATAAATTCTAATAATATTAATTAAAAGAAGAGTTGTAACTAGCACTGCGATGCCTAAACGTTTTCCTTTTATTTTGTAAAAAATCGTAAAATTTACTTTAGACAATTGCTTACTTGTAAACATTATTACACATACAATTTAAGTACGAATACATGTATATGTTAATACTTTCCGATTGTAAACAATACAATTTTTGAGACTATAAAAACTCACGAGAATACACAAAGATTACACCTTTTCGTTGCGTTCTCTTTTATTTTAAAGTTAAGTTTCTGCGTCAATTGTGAATAGTATTAAAAACGTCGTTACATATTTACACATTATGTTGTTTACTGGGACAATACTTGGGTTTATCACGGGACACGCTAACACCATCATAATTTAAAAACTAATAAATACCTAGCAGCTAGCAGCTAGATATTTTAACAAGGAATGTATGTATGTATGTGTATGTGTTAAAATATTAAATCGATTTGGAACATATTAGAAAACTACTTCAGCTGCATGCTTAAATGACAAGCGTTTAAAAAGATAAAACGCACTTGTTGGAATCATTTGAAACTTGGAGAAAATAAATACATTTATTATTTTGAATTATGTATTACTTTCTTGCAAAAATTTAATTGTACAAAAATTTTAGGGTCTACATATGAAGCCTGACAGAAAATTAAATTAATTAGCCAATAATTTTTTTTTGAGACCCCACTTCAACTCTGTTCTTCCGATAAATGAGTATTTCGCGTAGTATTTCTAATAATTAAACCATTTCACGTTTCCATTTACAGTATCGGTGATATCAACAGCACCCCCATTTGCAAGTGATACTGTTTGTCACTCATATTTATTTATTTATTTATTTATTTATAGCGTTTTCTTTTGTACCGAAAAAAAATTTTTTGTAGAAAAGAAAATACCATTAGTTTTAAGAATTTTCAATTAACATACAGTTTATTATGTAACAAAAACCCATATAAACTCAAGTTCAAAACTTTGTAGAAAAAAAAAATTAAAAAAATTGCCATCCAAAGTTCAAAGTTTTTCCTAAGAAGTGTTACAATTTTTTGAGTATACAGTTCTATAGCCCACTAAATTTAATTAATTTTGTTTTTTTTAGAATTTGTCATGGTTGAGTGCTTAAAAAAATTTTTTTTCCTCATCAAAATAAAGTGTATTCCTCCAACTACGTCCAGCGGGCTTTTGCTTTCTCAAGATTTAAAATCATATCAGATAGATAAAAACACCACTACGGCTATATGGTTGCAGCCTTTTGAAAATGTTTCATTTTGTCGTTTATCTCGTTCCGAATTGCTTATAAGATTTTGATTGAACCACTTTTCCTTATGATATATTTTTCCTTGTGTTTATGAAACTCCAAAATTTGCTTTTAAAATCTGGATTAAGAGATTTCCTTAGCCATCTAAAATGCCGGCCTAGTATACTGGAAGGTAAAAAATAAACACTTTTTAGTTACTTATGCAGAAATGGAGGGCAGCTTGTCTTACGTATGTTGAGCTAAAAACTCATAACGACTATAAAGCAAATAATCACTTTTTGACAAAGTAAAGGCTCAAAGCATAGACTGCTGAGAGCTGCATCCTCCGGAATATACACATTTTAAAAATATTATACTTGTTTATTATTTATTTTTGGAAAATAGATTTTTATCAGTGCATTTTTTTACCGGAACCGGTTTTTTAACCATTTGCATAATTGAAATCATGGGAAAGGTTGTGAATTTGTACAGACTACTTTGTAAATTGTCCACTTCCAAAAATGTTTGATAGCAAACTACTTAAATTCATTAAAGAGGTAAAAATACCTTTTAAACGATATTTTTTCCTAAACTCCTGAAATTTGTATGAAAAATACGTTTGAGTTTCAACTTTCAACATTTTTTGAAGTATGTTACCGATACTTCATTTAAAAGTTCATACATTAGAAAGGTGCTAATGATGGTTTTTATCCTGGTACTGTTGGTAAACTCTATACCAAAGTTATTAACGATCCAGTGTAAGTTACATTCTAATGTACCAATTTGTGGATAATTTAAGCGAACCTAATGAGATTTTTAAGCGAGTTCCCACGACTGTCTCAAGAAA